AGGCATGACAGACCAAATGAGGGGGGTCTTATATATTGTTCTTTTTGTGGAGATGGCAAGTTTCTATTGCTATCAGCTTGATTTTATAAGGTTAACTCTATGGCTTATCATTACTAAAGGCACACTACTTCCTAAGGTAAGAGGAGTTGATCAGGAATTGATTAATTTTTGGACCAAAATGTATGATTAATTAAGGAGGTGATTTAGATGTTTTTTTTTGTTGAATTGTGATTGGATCAAGTCAATCAATTGCTCACATAAAATTTTATTTATTAGTTGAGAGAAGAATTGGAGTAAAGGGTAAATTACTTCCTATTAAGTCTTATGTGAGACCTCTAGTAGTACAAGAACTAGTACTTAGATATTTTGTGAATTGTTGATAAAAAAAATTATTTGATATTGAAATATTATTTGTATTTATGTTGTATTGACAAAGTAAATTATGATTGACAGTACGAGGATGATATTTTAGTATATTCAAATATCAAAAATTAAATGGCCTTTGACCTAATATGTTATTGGATGAGTGTACATGATGTATTCAAGTTTCATCGAATCAAGAGGGTAAGACATCAAATTAATGTCTTGATGCACCGTGATATTACAAAATATTGGGTTCAAACCTTATTAAATTACGGCCTAGACCAGTGGCGTAGCCACCTTATTGCTAGGGAATTCATCTGAACCCCTTTTGACGGAAAATTATACTATTTATACATGGTTAAAATAATTTTTTAGGTATATATAGTAGATTTTGAACCTCCTTCGGCTACTTCGTGTGTCTATTTCTTCAGATTTTGAACCCCCTTATTGAAAATTCTAGCTCCGCCACTGACCCAGACTTCCTTTTATGGATAAGACATTGGATCTAAGTCCTAATGCACCATAGTGATGATATAATGATGACTAACACAATATAATTATTTTGACCACAAGTCATGAATTTTCCCTTGTTGGTTTGCTTCATTCTCTTATGTGAATGTTGTACCAGTACATGATAAGTCTGAAAGATAACAATGATTTGTGATTGTACAATGAATATGGACATGAGTAAAGAAAAATTATAATAGTCATCATTATGGATAAATGAAGAACATTATGGGTTCTCCAAATAGTCCTTCAAAATGTGAAGGTAGTTTTTATTATCAAAATGGTATGAAAGGTCATTGGACATGTGATTGTTGTCGACCCAATAATTTGACAAGTTTATAAATCTTCCATAAAAAAAAGAAGATAAAATGATGGTACACTTGACTTTTCAAAGTGATGTTGAGGTGTGTCATGGAAATATGATAAATTCTTGAAAGTGAATGTGTCAAAATATGAACAAAAAAGTATGAATAAGAACATATTCATGTATGGTAGGAAAATGCCACAACTCACCTTTACATGAGGTTTGAGAGAAATAAATAAATTTTATTTGACAGGAATAGTCAATGATCGTGTACGTTTATACGTCATAAATATTATGGTATGTTTATTGTGAACTATCGAAAGGGCAAAAGAAAGAAGTAGTTCTTGCCTATAAAGATTGTGGTCATGACCAAAATAATATTATTGTGTGGTAATAAAAAATTGTCATTCGTTGTGTACCTATGGTACGACAAAAGTAAAACAAGAAACATGTCTTGCCTATAATAATTTCGACCATGACAATAATAATTTAATTTTCTCTTTGAAGGAGATGTTTACCATACAGATGGTGTCATGGAATATGTGATAGTATACAAAATTAATTGTAAGCTCTAAAGAGCTATTGTGGTACACTATAAATTATAGGAAGATTTAATATCTTCAAATTGCGACAACCGAAACGGGTTAGAAATATTTATGTAAAAGGTTACACATCTTTTTCTCTTATTTGTTGTATACAAACATGAGCATGATGATAGATCACATGCAAAAGTGAACTGAAAGCTTACTAGAATAAAGAAAATATATGTTGGTATGACCGATTGACCATCTCGATTCAATTGTGATGCAAAAATAATTGAGAATGCATATGGTTGTATATTGAAGAAATAGAAAGTTCTTCATGAATTCTCATGTGCTTCTTGTTCTCGTGATAAATTGATCAATACCATCTATGGTTGGGATTATGTCCCACATTTTTTGAAACATATAAAAAGGTGAATATGGGTCCGTTCACCTGCCATGTGGACCGTTTACTATTATGATTTACTAGATGCATCTAGAGTATGGTCACATGTGCGTTCGTTATCAACTTGCAATTTAATTTTTGTAAGATTATTTGCTCGAATTGTTAAAATACGAGCATAGTTCCAAGTTATAAAATCATGTTGATAATGCTGGTTGGTTTAGGAGAAATTGTATGCCTTCAATTATAGCTAAATCAAAGGTTACTAGAGAAAATCTCTCAAAAGAAATTTGGTATGAGATGAATTTATTTAACATGCAACAATACTTGTATACATCAAGCCAACAAGGTTTCCCTATCAAAATTGGTTCAGGGTTAGAAACCAGATAGTTTTCATCTAAAACATTGAATGTGCGGTTATGATGTAATTGTCCATCATGCACAAAAATGGATCCCCAAATAAGATTGGGATGAATGTTACATATTCTGACATCAGGGGGAGATATGATTGATAGCTGAAAATTATGTAAGAGATGAATTATGAATTATCCAGATCCTTGTTAGAAAAAAAAGTAAACTTGAAGTTCAAGAGATAATTCTTTTGCATAATATTGCAAATCAATTGCCAGATGAGTTTACTAACCTTATGTTGTAATTCAGCTGCAAATGCTCCAATGAGAGATACTTGAAGGACAGAGTCTATGATACGCATGAAGCATGGTAGACCGATCGATTCCAAATATAAAATTTCTTGAGGAAGGAGAGGAGCAAATGATCAAGATGGTCAAGATAATGAGGCAAGTGCTTTAAAGGAGCACGACGACATAACACTTCATCAAACCTTGACAAGGGTTCAGGTACCTTAAATGATGAAAAATGAAGAGATCGATAAGTTATGTCATATTGGAATCATAGCGCTCAATGATATAGATCGTAACGAGGATCTTGAATTCAAATCTGTCATATAGTGTGGACAAATAAATGATTGGCCAAATAAAATGAATAATTAAAGCATTTTTTGTTTCACTTAGAAAAGTGACATTTTGAACTGATAGTTTGCAAATCAAGGTATAATGTCAGTGGGGTACAAATAAATTATTATGCATAGTATGACCGTAAGATATCTAGTACGGCTTGTGCCTTGAGCGTAAAGATTTTTCGCAAAATTCCTGACATTATTGGAGATATTTTCTCCTATGGTGGATGCAATGATGTTTGTTTTGATCTGGAAACATATGAAAAACTTGAATTCATATAATGAATAATTGTCATGTCTGGCTAGATAATGGAGATTATATAAAAATTCTTGAAGCATTCAAGGTACCTGAAGTATATAAAAGATTGAAAGAAACTTTTTCAATAAAATTTCAAGAATCGTTAAATGGATTGAAATAATAAAGGAAGAAATGATACAAAAAATGACTCTATTTGTCCTTGCATTTTTATAAAAATGTCAGGATCGGAATTTGTTATAATATAGTTGAGTATGCTGATCACTCGAACATTATTAGCACCTTAAAGAGCTTTTAAAAGTTGTTGAGTGTTTGAAAAGGAAATCTAAAATGAAAAGATCTTGGTAAGACACAATTTTGTCTTGACCTACATATTGAGAATTTGACAAATGAAATATTTGTCCATCAATCAACATACATTATAAAGTTTTGATACGATTTTACATGAATAAATCACATCCATTCAGTACCCCAATGATTATGGGATCGCTTGACATAAATAAAGATCCATCTCGATCTCAAAAGAAGGATGAAGAACTTCTTAGTGATGAAACTCCATATATCAGTCAATTTGAGGCACTAATGAACCTTGCTATATACGATCAAATATTTTGCAATGAGTTGATTGACAAGATTCTACTCCTCCCCAACAAGAACACGTTGAAATGACATCAAAGACATTTATTTGAAGTTATTAAACAAGATAATCAATTGCAAATGAAAGTATTTACAAGATGATTGTTGCTATGAACAAGTTGAATGAACAATTTACTTACAACAATGAAGTCACAAATAGAGTGATTTTTCAAGAATGTATTCGACTAAGCTCAAAACCTCATCATATCCATAAAACCAAAAAATGATATATGAGGATGAGTTCAATCATGCAACATCTTCGTGAATGTGATTTGATCACAAAGACACTATCAATATTTGAAAACTTGGTATATAGGATTGAATGACATCATCACAAGAAATTAAGTGATGTTTTAATAAGGGGGAGTATAATACGCATTGCACACTTTTTTTCTTAACCGACGTTTTGTCCCACCGAGTTTTCCTGGCAAGGTTTTTAATGATGCAACAAATAATGCGTATCAAAAGATATGTGTACTCTTTTTCCTTTATTAGAATTTTTTCCCACATAGTTTTCCTAGTAAGGTTTTAGTGATGCATATTATCTATAGACATCCAAGGAGGAGGGCTATAAATCTATTGAATAGTGGATTGTCCATTTGATTTCTTCAAGAATTAATTGAATTCATGTATGTATAATCCAAAGTGATATGAACCTTGGTGGATAACTATGTATCTACTAGTTTGACTTTTAACAAGGTAACCTTTGAGTATGATATTTCAACACTATAAATAGAGATATCATTCATCATTTGAAGGACACACTTGAATAAAAAGAAAAGTTCTCTCTTGCATCTACATTTCTTGCCTTCTTCTCTTTATACTTATATTGCTTTGATCTTCATTTTATAAAACTTTTAATCTTTTTACGTTATTAGAATTTTTATATATAGTATTGGGTCAAAATGTAAAAAATAAATAAAAATTATTGAAAGTATTTATCATCTTTAATTAAATCTCACATGTGTTTTGTTTACGAAAATTTATCCGTTTGGTTGTGGTGGGCATGTCGGGGGTGAAAGAGGGACGTCTAATCCAATTGTTCCGACGTCACAACTCACGAGACTTCTCCAACCAACTCTGAGGCCAACCCTCTCCCTTGACGCTTTCTTTTCTTCAAGCAAAAATCCCATTATTGCTTCCTTTCGTCTTTTCCGTTGAAATCAAATCACCCTTTTGCTCCTAAAGGTACTTCAGATTGTGGGTCTTGATCCAAAATTAGATACATTACTTGTTATTCCAAACCCTCATTCTTTTTTTGGGTTTGGGTTTGGGTTTGTGGGTATCTGATAGATCCTCACAAGATTTCCTTTTTTTGGGTTTTTTCTTAATGTATCAATCCTAATTTTTTATATAGGAATTGTTTCTTGCTGTATAGGTCTATTCCTGTTATTGATCGTAATATGAATGAACATTTTGGAAATTCAAGAGCAAGCTCGAGTTCTCCCTCTAGTTTGAATAGCAGTTCACAAGGTACTGAGGATGATCATGCCATTGCGAAAATCTTGGCAGAAGAAGAAGAAATTGCTTCGAGGTACGGGGGCAAGCTTGCGAACAGACTCTCTCATTTGGACTCAATCCCGGTACAATCATATTTGCTTGTACTAGACAGTTTTTCTATGTATATGACATAGTTTCAATATTGTCATGTTGTAAGTTATCAAGAATTTGCCTGTTTTGTAAATTTAGTGTTTGTCTATCATCTGTAGTAATGAGTTTTTGTATAGAGTTGCATTGATGTGAGCAGTGATTCAGTGCACGCTTTAATTCTTGGAATAATAATATGCTACTAACCATCATATTCTGCTTATAATCTTACTGTCTTTGCAGCACACTCCAAGGGTCATTGGGCAGATACCTAATCCTAATGATGCCACACTTGACCACGAGAGGCTCTCTGGCAGGTTGTGTATCACTTTACTTAATGTATCATAGCCCTTCAGCTTGACAATTGATCTTGAAACCACAGTTTGAAATGGAGAAGCCAGATGTATGACGTCGGGGGCTCTAATTGAAGATTTCCAATTTTATTTGGTTTCATAGAATTTAAACTGGTGTATTCAAATAGTTAAAATGAAAAGCTGATGCAATCCTAGAAAAGATATGGCCCTTTGCTTGTACAGTTTTTACGCTGTTTCTCTACAATATATTGTTCTCCGGGATAGTTAAAAGTACTTATTTGTGATCTGTAGTTTTCATCATATGTATGGAAAAAGCCATGAGTTAAAAGAGGAAGGATGTTACTTTATATCTCTTTACTATTTTGGTATTGTCAGTAAGGAATATTTTTCCTTGTTAATGTGTAATATTATCTATCATCAGGTTGGCAGCATATGGCCTTGCTGAGTTTCAAATTCAAGGAGATGGCAATTGCCAGGTTATTCTCTTTTAACTAGTCTACAAGCCATTCCTGCACTTGACATACATGCGTGCTATTTGTGACTATTTCCTTCGACTTATTGAACAGTTTCGAGCCCTTGCAGATCAGTTGTATCATAATCCAGAGTATCATAAGCATGTGAGGATGGAGGTTGTCAAACAGGTATGGGTACATTAAATTTTTAATATATTTTCCTTTCATCTCATTATTATCTGTTATAAATCAAGATGTTACCAAGGCTACTGTCATTTTATTCGAGGATTGTTTTTCACTAGGATCATCACATATTACAGCTTAGGTTCTCTTCATGTGATTTTTGTAAGATTATTAGTCTTAACCATAAAAAAAAAGATACAATTGTCGCTTTGAGGGTTATATGTACCTGAAGTATAATTCGCAACTCAATAATAGTGTAGCTTTTTTGCTTTTTGTAATATCAAGATTGAGTTAAACACTGCAGGCTATCTTTATCACAATTATCTACCACAAGCATCAGGGAGACTGAAATTCGGACAATGCCAGTTTTGCTAGAGTTCAGTTTCTGTTGGAACCATATCTCAGTCGTCATATTTTTGTGATTTGCTTGCAAACTCAAAGATATATGTGAACGAGGAAGTGTTGAGACTTGCAAGGTTCTTTATGAAGCTTGTGTTTGATAGCAATACAAAGAATAGAAAGGTTAAGATGTTGTCAAGGAAGAGATGAAATAACAAGTAATGCCTTATCATTGGTGTTCATGGACTTGGTTTAGTAGAAGTGAATAAAGCCTATCATCATCTTCTAAACAGAGCAACATTATTTCGCTTCAATAACATGTAGATCAAGTTCTAGTCTGAGAAGCAAGATATGGAATATATGCAAGAAATCCTCACCTCTCATGACACGAGTCTCAATCAAAATGGATCAATTCTTCTCTTTGATAGACAGATCATACCGAACCACAACATAAGAGAAAGCTAAATATAGAGTCACTACTTTGAGCTTAGGTGTCAGAAATTTTGTTATTTAAGTGGTACTCAAACACTGACATAAAAATGCTACTCAAGCTCATGCCCACATATGCTAGTATCAACCAAGTCAAAAAGTATTTCTTCTCTCTCCTTTAGTACTACTAAAAAATAAAAAAATATAAAAACTTACCCAGTTCAAGTTACATCCCTCATAAAAGAACCGAGCAATACAGAAAAACTAAGAGAATTATTAACTACCTAATAAAGTAGAACAAAAAAGCATCCAAGCAATCTCCTTACCCCATACATAAAATGTGCATTATCCTCAATGCATCCTATAAATAACAAGTGGGTAAAATAAACTCCCTGAAAGGCCAAATGCTGAAACATTTGCAGCTTAGGGGATACTCAGACTTCTCCAGACACAGTTCTTTATACGGGAACCCCACACTTAGTTTCACTTTGCTGCTCGCTTTTGCATACTTCTAATGACTTTACTTCCTTGCACATACTTCTACAAATACAAAAAAACGTAATACTACAAAAAATACAATGATATATATATATATATATATATATATATATAAAGAAAGCAATAAGATTTGGTTGCCTCCCAACTAATGACTAATTTAATGCAGCAACACGGTGCTAACACTTTCACCAGTTCTCCTTTCACTTTGAAGATACGAATTAATCCCTCAATTTTGCATCACGGGTGGTGGTAAAGGTTTTAAAGGACCATGTAGCGAACATTGCATATTGCACTTCTTGGCCTTTAAGTGAGGGACGCCAATTTTTCTTTTTGATGTGGAAAAGTTTAGAATGTAAGAGTCTTGTTCCTGATCTATACACTTCTCCATAGGTTCGGATGGCTTGATTCTCATGTCACCACCTAAACATAATCTACAAAAATGTAGAATGAGGTCTAACACGCCTTAACTTTAAACCATCATTATCATTGATATCGTGGCCCTGGTATACCTTCTCATCCTTGGCATCAGAATAGTATTCGGTTGAATGGTTAGGATTCCTCTTTCTGCTTTACAAGCTGGTCAATATCCACAACAATTGGTAGTTGGGCATCAAATGCCTCAATCTTTTTATTCAACTCAGTGTGCTAATCATGGATATCTAAGCCAAATTGGTGCATCTCTTGTCTGATCTTAGTTCTTCCTTCCATCAAATGTTTCGCCTCTTTGTAAGACCACCATGGAGAAACCCATGCAAGCTTATTAGTTGAGCTTGTTCTGTTAGCCAAGATTGACTCACTATCTCTGCTTCTTCATGACTTTCTTGTTGCAGTACCTCGTTCTCTTCTTCTGCTTGGGGTTCGTCATGGGTATCAGCTAAACCTGTAACTTGTAGATAATTATAAGTTTTAGTCTTAGCTTGCATTGACACTCATCCCCATGGCTTTCCTATTTTATGCGTTCTGCTCCAATATTTGCTTCATCATATCACTAAGTCTAGCATCATGTTCCGTATCTTCCACTTCATTACTCCGGTTAATATCACAAACAAAAGGAGAATTATAATAGAGGATTGGGGAAGAGGAATAAGACATTCCACTCAAAGAAAATGTGCGCACACTCTGCTCCTGAAAAAATGATGACAATTTATATTTAAGTGAGGTCCTCCACAGTACAATTAAGAAATACCAACATATGAATACCCATTACTCGATGAATTTACATTCCGAGATGCCATTTCAAAAAGGATAAATAATACTATAGAAAACAAATATATATACAAAAATAAAAAAATTAAATTGGACTAGACAAAAACAAAAGTCTAATTTTTTTTTTTTTGAGAAAGGTAACATTTACTTCTATATATCCACAGGTATACTACATCAAAGTGTAGTTCCCCTCCAAATATTTATACTTACATCAGCCCTAAGATCTTCTAGTTACAGCCAGTCAATAACATTAGAAACATCTTCAGAATTTCCTATTACTACTTGCTTACACCAAAAATAATAAAGACCTAGGTAGTTTATCTTTATCTTCTGAATATTGTTGTTCTTTCCTTCAAAACATCTTTGATTCCTTTCATTCCAAATTGTCCACCAAATGCATGCTGGGACAATCCTCCATCTCTCCTCCTTTTTTCCTGCATTTCCATCACTATTCCAGCATTTTAGAACTTCTGTGATTCTTCCTGGTTTTGTCCACTTGATCTCCCTCTTGTGAATGAACATCTGCCATAATTGATCTGTCCATTTGCAGTGTAAAAGGAGATGGTTGACTGTCTCCACCTGCTCTTCGCATAAATAACATCTAGAGCAAAGGTTGCATTTCCTCTTGTTCAAGTTTTCATGTGTCAAGACTTCCTCCTTTGCCAAAAGCCATGTGAAATAATTCACCTTGTATGGGATTTTTGTTCTCCAGATCATCCTCCAAGGCCATCCTGCTTTCTGCTCTTCAATAGGTCTCAATTCTCGATATGTAGATCTTACAGTGAACTCTCCCTTTCTCTCCCCTTTCCATATCAGTCTATCTTGCTCTTCTGCTAGATTGGTAGCCCTAGCCATTGTGTCATGAAATCTTGCTATGGATGTTATTTCCCAGTCATTTAAGTTTCTTCTCAGATGTAAATTCCACCCTTGTCCTGTCCATAAGTCTGCCACTGATGTTTCTTGTGCTTGACTTAGACTATGTAGCTTAGGGAATGCTTGTTTGAGTGTCTCCTGTCCGCACCAGATGCCATTCCGGAAGGCCACTTTTTCTCCATTACCAACCTTACATTTTGTTCTATCTTTGACCAGTAGCCATAGTAGCCGTAAGTTCCTGATTGATCTCCAAACACTACAATCATAAGGGCTGGTCACCCCATCTGTCATCCACTTGTCCTCCATGCCATATTTTGTTGTTATTACTTCCTTCCATAGAGATACTTCTGGTGAGGCAAATTTCCACAACCATTTCATCATCAAGTTGTTATTCTGCGTACTCAGATATCTGATATTGAGTCCACCCCCTCTCTTGCTAACTAGCAACTCCTCCCATTTGACCAAATGATACTTCTTCTTATCTTCACTGCCTTTCCATAGAAAGTTCCTCCTAATTGCATCTAACCTCTTGGTTACTTTGGCTGGTATAGGGAATATTGACATCATGTATGATGGCAAGGCATCCAGGACACTGTTGACTAGAGTTAGTCTGCCACCTAAGGATAGATATTGACACTTCCAGTTCACGAGCTTCCTTTCACACTTTTCAATTACACCACTCCATATTCCACTTGATTTGCTCTTAGCCCCCAAAGGCATTCCCAAGTAGGTTGCTGGTAGTTCACCTACTTTCCCTCCAAGCTTGTAAGTTAAGTCCTCAATATTTGGTACTGTGTTTACTGGATAAATGAAACTCTTGCTCTGGTTTATGTGCAAACCTGACACAGCCTCAAAAATATTTAAAATGACTGTAGATGAGTGATCTCTAGATTGTTTCTTGTATTCTCCCCCACTTTGAAACCTCTAATCCAACCATTTGCTCTTGCAGTCTGGAATAGGTTGCTCAACCCCTCCATAGCCAAGATAAAAAGAAAAGGAGATAGGGGGTCCCCTTGTCTCAAACACCTGTTTGATGGGAAAAACCCACATGGGTTTCTGTTGATCAGAATAGAGAATTTCACTGAGCTTATGCAATGTCTGATCCACTTTAACCATCTTTTACCAAAACCCATCCTCTGCATCATCTTCATCAAAAAGTTCCAATTCAGGTGATCATATGCCTTTTGGATATCCAGCTTGCATAGGATCCCTGGTTGTTTATCCTTTTTCCTGGAATCAACACATTCATCGGCTATCAACATTGCATCCATGAACTGCCTGCTCTTGATGAAGGCCAATTGTTGCTTGTTCACATGCTTATGCATCACCTTCTTTAGTCTTTCAGCCAAAAGTTTTGTAATTATCTTGTAAACTCCCCCCACTAAACTTATTGGTCTAAAGTCATTAAGTTCTTCTACCCCTATCTTCTTAGGTATCAAAGTCACAAAAGTAACATTTATACTCTTCTCAAACACTTCTTCCACATAGAAGTTTTGAACTGCTGCAACCAATTCTGTTTTGATGATATCCCAACACTGTCTAAAAAAAGCCATTGAAAAGCCATCCGAGCCAGGGGATTTATCCCCCGCACATGCTTTGATGCATTCTAGAATTCCTGAGCTTCAAAAGGGGCCATCAGTTGGTTGTTGTCATTTTCATCA